CACTTAGTAAAATATAAATGATCACTCCAGCACTCCATATATCGCATTCTAAACCATAATGCTTCCGCAACACTTCCGGGGCAACATAATAAGGGCTTCCGACAACATCAGTGAAGATTTCACCTGGGGGCACAGAACTTTTTTTCTTGATCAGGTGTTAGAAAGTCAGCTAATGAAACAGATAGAAGAAATAGCAGACAACAACGGAGAATTACTTTAAAAGAAGAACAACCCACGGCCTACAACAAGGATTCAACAAACATCCATTATAAAATAAGCTTAATGTGAAACAAACAAAGAAAAGAATAGATGTTCCTTATCTAAGTTGGTCGGACTTGGGTGCAGGTGTCTAATACGGGTGTAAATCTAGAGGTCGGATCCTTCATTATCTAAATTTTAAGATTTAGGGGTACAGATACGGGTGCGCAGATCTAAATTTCTTGGCATCTAAAGCATATCTACACAATATTGCTTTCGCTTTGTTGACATAAGTGAAATCATAACATTTCTGGGAAGTACCGAATAGATGAAAAAAACAATAAGCTAGATCGACACCATTTTAAGAAAAAAATGTTTGCAAGTGGACTACCTGGCTTGAAGAACACTGATAACCCAAAGTCGATTGTCTTCAAGGGCGAATCTTCATCCTGGTTGATAAAAAGAAAGTTCTCGGGTTTGAGGTCCCTATGCATGACACCCATGGAATGACATGCTTCCACGACACCTACAATTACCCTAGCGAGTTCAGCTGCCTTCTTCTCACTGTAATGTCCTCTCTGTAAAATCCTGTCGAAAAGCTCCCCACCCGCACAAAGCTCCATCACGACATGCACTTCAACAGCATCCTCATAAGCCCCTACTATTTGTACCACACTAGGGTGCCCTGCCAAATGGTGCATAATCTGAATCTCCCTTCTTACATCCTCGACATCCTCCTCGGTATTCAACTTCCTCTTAGCAATGGACTTACACGCCAACTCCTTTCCATGTACCTGTTATGATTTTTTGGACGAGAGATGCAAACAATAAAGTTGAAAACATGGATGAAAATCAGTCTCTTTTATATCATCAACTATAAGGCTTTATATAATTCCACATAAACAAAATAGTTAACTCCTCCTACAACTAAAGCATTAGACTCTTATAACGACTAAAAGCTTATATGGATGGCTGTTACATATTGTTTCATAACGTATAGTATTATAGTAATCGATGAATACAATGTTTGGATAGATTGTATCGTTTCTCATCGTTATATAATGCCACACATCAACAATTTGAATGAACATGATACAATAGGTAACAGCCATCCAAACAAGCGGTAAGAAACTGAATACTTTAGTGTATCAAATATTAGATTCCTCTTACAACTAAACAACTACTTACAACAACATATACCGAGTATAGTCCCACAAGTGAAGTCTGGGGATGGTAGTGTGTACGCAGACCTTACCCCTACCTTGGGAGGTAGTGAAGTCTGGGGATGGTAGTGTGTACGCAGACCTTACCCCTACTGTGGGAGGTAGAGAGGTTGTTTCTGATAGACCCTCGACTCAAGAAAATAACAAGAGTGAAAAAACCAAGACAAAATACTACACAAGACATGACAAAGCATACTAAATGAACAGTAACTACAACAAAATATGTATTAGAAATCAAAGGAACAAGAACCTACAACAGTAATACTACGACTACTAGTACAGAAGGATAAACGAGACTACAGTTAGTATCAGTAAAAGATGCAGCATTCAACAATACCTTGTCCACACATAAATACGTCGTCCCAAATTGACCTTGTCCAAGCTTCTTCCCTAAACTACAAATCTCCTTCAAATTACCAGTTTTTCTTCCCAAAACAGAGTCGATTTTAAGCCCAATGCTCGATACTCGCTTAACATGACTAGGTTTATTCTGTTTCACTCCTTCCACTGGTTTATTATTAACATTTGATGATGAATTCTTCTCATTAGTATCATCTCCACTAATCTTAAGGTGTGGGGGTGGAGTACTCTGAGTACCACCAAATCTATTAGTATCATTTCCATCTACTTTCTTCGACGATCCGAAGGATGAATGCTCTTGGGTTTTGTGGGAATTTGAGTCCCCTTTATTTGCAAGAGGTAAATGTTCTTGTTGTCTTGTTTTCCAAACAACTGCTGTTACTGATTGCAAGAACCCATTGTTACCCAATTTGGGTCCTATACATGTATTCCCCATTTTCTTACAATCAAATCCTTTCTACCTCCTCGAGGTAGTGTAACGTCTACGACTCTGCATACACTCTACTCTCTCCAAACCCCGATTCTTGTTCTTGTTCTTTCAATCAAATCATTACATTTTCTCTTTAATTCCCAAAAAAACCTTTCAAGAAACCTATAATCTTTTGCCCCCAAAAAGTTAAATACTAAATTCAAAAAAATAAAAAATCTCTTTCAATAAAATAAAACTTTCAAGAACCTATAATCTTTTACCCCCAAAAATTTAATACTACCCCTACATTCAAGAAAGGAAAAAAAAAACTTTCAAAGAATATTCAAGAACCCTAAATTCAAGATTTTATTTTTTTTCTTTCAATCAAAATCCTAACATTTTCTCTTTAATTCCCAAAAAATCCTTTCAAGAATCTATATTGTTTTGCCCCAAAAAGTTAAATTCCTCTAAATTGAAGAACCCTAAATTTCAGATTCCTTTTGGAATCTGAAATTCAAGAATTCATCAATAAAGATGAGTTTTTTTTTTTTTTTTCTTTTTGAAGAGAACAAACACAGAATTGACCTTAGTCTAAAATCAGCCTCAAAATTCGAAAAAAATTAAAAATAAATCAGGGATTAAGAGAAATTAGGGGAAATATTATGGAAAAATATTTGGGGGAAAAGAAAATTAGGAAATGTAAGGTGGTATAATGGTTTGTTTAATTTTTACAAAGATCACTTTCATGCATGCATGCGTACGTACATTTTTTCTTCAAAATGTGCATCTTTTCGCGTTTTATATCTTAATTATCCATAATACATAAATAAGCTCAAACTTATTTTAAGATGATTTGAAAGTGCGCATCTAGACACTTAAATTACTTGGTCTCAAATTACAACTGAAAACATTCCAATTTGTCACCAATGTGTCTCGTGGTCACCCAAGACTGACGTGGCATAAATTTTGGAGGTCAAAAGTTATGATCATTTTAGTTTTGTCTGATATTATGTCTTGTATGTGTGTTTCGTCGATGTTGAACAATTCTGAACCAGTGAAATGCCGATCTAGCGCTAGGCGAGAAAAAATTAAGAGGTTTTTTGTTTTGAACATGTGTTTCACTGGCGTTAAACAATGTTGGATAGGCGTTTCAATAATTGAAACGCCAGTTGGAAGATGGAAAATCACGTAAGTCTATTTTAGTCCAATGTTTGTCACTTTTGACCATTCTTTCAATCCCTAAAAGTGGTTTCTCTCCTCCTCTCATTCTCATTCATCAAGGTATGCTCTTCTCCATGGATTTCAAGCTCTCCAATCCAAATTTTGGGAGTATCATATGAATATATGTAATTTTGGGAGGACTATTTAGCACCGAGAGGTCACGGGTTTTTAAAAACTCAAATCTCATAACTATATATGTACCTGTAAGATTATGTTTCACCATTTTATCGATTGATCATTTAGCCCGGAGAGACTCAGATTAGTGGATCCACATAGATATGATAGGGTTCTATACTTTGACAAGGTATAGGACAAACCTCCGAACTGGGTTAGTTATTGGACATCATGAGCTCACATGGTGTATGTCGATTATAAGAAACTTCTCAGTTTGTACCCTTTTATGATATGTTCTTAACTTTATTTAATTCACTTTAAGTATGCTATTTACAACTATGATAATGCAAGACAGCTGAAATAGACTCATCTCTATATATGATTATGCAAGACGACTGAAATAGACTCATCTTTGTATATGATTATGCAAGACGACTGAAATAGACTCATCTCTATATATGCTTTTGAAAGAAGATTGTGAATGGTATTTAGACATGAACTCCAACTGTTTTCTCTTTAGTTTTTTCACTATGTATATGATTTTGGAAACCTTATTTCACTGTCCTCATTATGTCATTTTGCGATTATGCTAGTGCCCCTTACTCACTCAGTACATGAAACACATACTTTTCTCTGGGATGCATCCTTTTATACTGTAAATTTCAGTGCCTATTTTCAGACTCGTGGCTAGTAAGGTGCAACATCTCTAGTTAGCAATTGGTGAGTCATCCTGATCACTTAGGGACTCCATGGACTTTAGTGGTTAGACCTTATTTTACGTTGTCTTTAGACTTTTGAAGGCGTCATGTCCTGGCTACGTATTTCTTTATTTTAAATGGTAGAGGCTATATTTCAGACATTAGTATTTCAATTCATGGACTTTATTCAGTTACGCATTTAGCTTCCACTTTAGTTTCCTTACTATATGCTTTGATATGCTATACCAAGGATTAATTTGGAACCACTCGTGATTCCAAACATCGTGTCTCAGTTGGATATAGGTTCGGATCGTGACAATAAACTAAATAAATATATGCTAAATAAAGGTTACAAATTTAACTAATTACTATATACATTTAAGAAATATCCATTTAATAACTCTCTATTTTAACTCGCCCATATTTCAATTCATCCATTTGACACCCCAACATGCACCAAGAAAACTCATCTATTATATATAGTCTATAACAATAAAATAGAAAGCAATGTGCTGAATTCCCACTAAAATATATATTTAACAAATATATCCATTTATTAACTCCCTATTTCAACCCGTCCATTTGTCACCCCGACATACCCAAAAAAACAACCATCTTCTAACAATAAACTAAAAAAGAGAGGTGCTAATTTCACAAAGTAATCACCATATATACTTAATAACAATCTATTTTTAAGCATAGCCATACAAGACAAAACTAATTTTTTTTTTTGTATAAATACCACCCTTACTTTCTTTATAATCATATAATATTGATTATCTCCATTGTTTTTTCTCCTTTCCAATAAAACAACAAAAAAAAGGGATAAAAAACAATGGCTCCTCTAACAAAAATAACTTTTCTTGTTATTGCAATTTCCTTCTTCCTCACAATTCCATCAAATGCATTTGATTATACATTAAAAACATCTCTTTCAGCTCCATCTTCTCTTCCTACTCCAAAAACTCCTACTACTCCAAAACCTCAAATCTTGGATGGTCCAGTACAAAAAGTCGTTGTTGCAAGTCAAAATGTACCATCATTTGTTAAAGCAACAATGGTTGGCACAATGTCCAAGACACAAGAATTTATCAAAAATGTAATTGAGAAAAGATTGACTTTAAGTGCAAAAATGGATCATTATAGAAAAGATTGTCTTGAAACATGCAAAGAGGTGTATGGAGATGCAATTGATGCAATGAAAAAGGCATCACAAGATGTTAAAGCACAAAATTTTTACAAAGCAAATATGGATCTTAGTGCAATGTATTCATACATTGAAACTTGCCATGATTGTGTTGTTGAGACAAAAGAAAATGATCTTGCCTTCCAAAATTTTGAAAAGTGGGCAAAAGGTGTTGCTAGTGATTGTCTTGATAAAGTTTCTAAAGAATACTATAAAAATTAATAAATATTATGGTATTCAATTTTAGTGTTTTTAATTAAAGCTATATACATCAATCAATCAGTGTGTCATCAAAAGATATTTACAAGATGAGATTTTTAATCTTAGCTTGAGAATAAGGTAGGTTGTCATGATCTGTTATAACAAAGATAGGTGACATTAAGAATTTCTTACACTTGCGATGTATTTTGTATTGTCTTGGTGGACAACATGACGAAGAAAAAAAAAGTGATATATTAATTTACGTTTTAATTTATGTGTTGTATTTTATTTTTTTTATTTTGTTCAAAAATATCATTTTTGTATATTTAATAAATTCTTCAATTACAACATCTCATGTGTCTCATATTTAAGACTATAAGATTTAAATTTTTAAATAAGATATATAAAATAAATAGAATGGAAAAACGATAGTGCAATCAGATCTCTCTATAACAATCCTGAATTAATGAACAATTTTTCTTTGAGATAGAACTTTTTTTATGTTATATTTACTCTTTATATGATAAACTTTTTATGTTACCTCTTAATAATACTTAAATATTTACCTATTTATTATTTTATATATATAATAATAACCAAAAAGTAGTCTATTCACTTTTTATTGGTGATACAAAGTTAATAAATTATGTAAGTTCTAACAAAGGAATTTGAAATGTCAAAAACTCTTTATGAATGTCAAATGATATTACAGATATATAACATGTAATAACTATAACAAGGACCTAACTTCATCATTTTAAACTGTCTAAATTCGACTCAAGTCGTTCATTTGTCACCTCTCGATATTAGGCAATTGAATTAAGTTATCTCGAAAGACCTCGAAGATTCCACTCAAGTTTAAAGAGACTCTTCCCTTGAATTAAATCTAAAAAAAAAAAAAAAAGAGAATGTAGAGATGATTATATGCAATTTTCACTATGAACAAGAATTCCTTTTGGTGTGACACCAAATCATAGAGCATAGTTACAAAGAGGAACTCGAATTCCTTCTCTCGAGACCACGTGTCCCAAAAATGCCACTAAATCAAACCAGAACTCACACTTCGAAAATTTAGCATACAACTGACATTCTCTAACACAAAATTTTACAACTACAACTGTCGAAAAGAAGAGCAATACTTATTATTACCTAAACGATTGCCCTTCTTTTCGGGTTTGGGTTTGTAATACATTCATCATCAAGGAAGAATGAGAACAAACAGTGTTAAGAGGGACAATGTGCATATGTGTAAAAGGAGGCCGGCTTTCCAGAGTCAAACCTAGAAGAACCAGGTCGTGGAGTCACTTGCTGACTCCACGCCCTGCAACCAAGTCTGATGCACGTGTGTCCAAGTGAGCCCGTCTGCAACAGTCACATTCTGGAAGCGAAAAACCAAATTATAACAGGCTTTGGATTGTAGGACAACAAAAATTGCAATGATCCTTCAATAAACTTCACCTTTGAGCTTAATAAGACGGTAGTTATGCAACATTGTCGATCTTCACCTGTCGGAAACAGCATCTTTTAAGATATTACAGTAAAACATAACAAGAGTTGAAGAGAAAGGAGATGTAAATCGTCTTAGTATTGGATCATTCTCGCAGAAAATAAGTCATTTCCGTAATCACTTGGTTAAATATGACTATAGCTTCATAAGTCTTAACTAATTTGGGGCACAGAATCTGTCATAGATGTAAAATTTGCTAAATTTCATTCTCAACTTTCTCATCACATGAATGAGACATGACTTTTTATCATAAGAATACTAAGCTTTCGACTTGAACTAGAAAAAGTTTTGTTTTCTTTGGACAGGCTAACCCGGAAAGAGAGATCGGGATGAATAGTCATAGTATTGCCCCTTGTAGTTTTTATTGTCCTTCGATTTTTGTTACTATGTGTTGTTCCTTGTAGCTCGATTATCGTCTTGTTCTGTTGTAGTTTCTGTTATGTTACTTGCTATCTGTTATTTTTGTTATTATCTGTTGTTTCTTGTTCTACCGTTACTTCTTGTTCTACCGTTTCTTCTTGTTCAGGATTACTTTGGATTGTTTTTCCTTTAGGTCGAGGGTTTATCGGAAACAGTCTCTCTACCTCTGAGGTAGGAGTAAGGTATGCGTACAAGTCAAAAGAAACTAGAAAAGAAGAAGTAAATATAAAAGACCATCTACGAGGCAAAAGACACTTACCGCAAAGCTCCCATTTCTTGAAACTTACTAACCATGAATCTGAACCAACCTGCGTAGGTAAGACTTGATCAACCCAAATGCGATATTGTTTACCCTTTTTGTCGCCATGACACTTTTTGAATGTATTAACGCATTCCTCGAGAGATTTCTCAACTCCAGATGGGTGCACAAAAGTACCAGATGGTCTCTGCAGCAACAAAAAGAGTTGGCAAATTCGGATTTTCAAGCGAAAAAGAAGCCATTAGGGAACAACCAAAACTCAAGCATAAAATACACATAATTCGACAAAAGATAAAAGATAAAAACACAACAGTAGGTATAGGGTACATACACAAACTGCTTTCAGGTTCGACAAGTAAAGGTCAGAATTCTCAATCTCTCCACGCCTCCATTTCTCGAAAAACAGGTAAAATTTGACGATTTCATAAGCAGGAACAAAGTTCTCCATCTTGCAGTCTGACATATTGGTAACGTCTCTAGGAGAGGTACTTGGTCCCAGGTTGAAACGTCCAATGGCTTGTATTATACCCGCAGCACATCTCTCTGTCGCATGAATTACTTTAGGATTATCTTTCACATTTGCAGCATGCCATTGTAATAATTCCTCCTGTGCATTCGATACCTGCAAAGTGAATATAGAATTTTAGAGCAGTTCTGAACTCAAAACAACAACACACTCACGCAGTCCCACAAAATGGAGTCTGGGGAAGGTAGAGAGCGTACTGCACCTTACCCCTACCTCAGAGGTAGGGAGATTTGTTTCCGATAGACCCTTGGCTCAAGGAAAATCAGTCCAAAGCAGGCTAGAAAAAGAAGTAACGGGAATACAAGAATCAACAGATCATAACAAAACAATAGATAGTAGCAAAACAGAACAACAAAACAATACAATAATCGAAGTACAAGGAATCAACAGATAGTAACCACTAACCATTACACCATAAACATCTGGGATGCTGAAAAGCTCAGCATCATTTCCAGAGTCACCACAGGCAAGCGTGTTGTTTGGTAATTTACCCTCACTCTTTAATTTCTTCAGCAAATACGCAAGTGCTTGTCCTTTGCCAGCACCTTGAGGCAAAATATCTAAAGCCATCCCTCCACTGTAAATTATTTTGACATCCAACTGATCACAAAAATAGAAATATTAAAAATCAGAGCAAAAAGATATTGAAACCTTATCAAAAGTTTTTCTCACTGCAGCATGAAAAGAAAGACATGCTATCATTTTGCTATTGTGGAGTTTCATATTGACCCATAATCTACTAGTGTAAAAGTAGCATTGTACCCCACGTTCTTCCAAGCGTTTGGAAAGAGTTTTCATTATATCTTGAGCCTTGTCTTTCTGAACGTTGAAACTGACCTTGTGAGGTCGTTGCTCCGTTTCTGACTGAAGTGTGAAAAGAAGTTTATTTATGAGACATCAATTACGATAACAATATTCAACATACAAACTAGTTTTACACGGAAATTAGTTTAAATGTATCAAAATGAGTTATTGGTCAAAAACACATCTGAACTATCACTTTTCGCGAGTTTCACACCCCAAATAACGGTTGTTCCTTTTTCCTACCTAAACTATCATCATCTATGTATTAAAACACACCTCGGAGCTGATTAGACTAACTATCAGTTGTTTGTTGTTGTTTCATTTTCCTACCTGAACTATCACCATCTACTCAACTAGGTGTGTTTTTTAATACATAGATGGTGATTATTCAGGTGTGAAACTCCGCGAAAAAAGCGATAGTTCAAGGTGTGTTTTTTACCATTATCTCTATATAAAATGATGCAAACATCTGTACCTGAAGTGTTAGTTCAGGAAATTTTTTTGTCTCCTCCGTCACTATTTTCCGATCCCATTTGTCATTTAAAAATGCTTCCCAACCATCATCTGGCAACATAGAGTTCCCATATGTTATTTCAGTCCCCACAGACATAATGGTAATATCTGGGGTTAGCATGGGCTTCTCTTTTCTCAACTCCTTGTAAAGAGTTGGTGATCTCCCAGTTGAGAACACTAACAAGGAGTTTTTGCGATAATTGGCTTCCCATAAAGCATTGAACCTAAGCAGAGAGAGGTTCTCGGGATCATGATGATCGACCTGTAAAGAGAGTCTCATGTAAGTTACATCAGCATAACGAAGAAAAGGTTCAAAAACACCACCAGGAGCATGTCGGATTCTCCAAAAGTAGTGCATTTTTGGAGGATCAGACATGGGTGTGGTAACATTTTTGGAGAATCCGAGTAACCTAGACTACAACAACCCACCATTGTATAGTCAAGATCTGAGACTATCATGAGACGTGCTGCACTGGTTAGCCGATCCATGGTTGATTTAATATTAGCTTCACTCTGAAACAAGACAAAGAAATCTCAGTCAATTAGTTTGTTTGCCTTTTAGGTTTGAATTTTAGTCGTTCAGATGTCAACCATTAAATGTGCTCGTTTTTGTTATGTGACATCCACCTAATTGGCCTGAATATATCTAAATGATTAAGATTGTAACTAAGTCTTAATATCATTAAGACATATCTCCTCTCTGCCCCCACGAAGACCTCTTTACGTACAAAGGCATCTCTACCTCATAAAGGCAGAAGTAAAGTCTACGTACATTTTTTACCATTTTCAAATCCTACTTGTGGAATTATATTGGGTATGTTGTTGTTGTTGTCTATCTACAAAGATGATAGGTCACAAATTCCATCCGTTCAAAGCTACCGACATCACCTATCATTATCAACTACTACCACCGCGGTCCACGATCATTAACTATATCACCATCATTGTCAATCACTACAATTAGTCATTGCTACCACTAGCCACCATTTACAATCATCATCATTACCACAACAACC